AACACTGAGACATTTAGGGAAATGAGGCGCAAGGAAAAAATCGTTCGAGCACAAATCTTACAACTTGCTTGTTTGGCTAGAAACTTAATTTGAGAGTGACTGTGTCACGAACTAAAAGACCTTCTCCTGCTTAACTTACTTTAATCGCAACTTTGCTAACTTTTCACTACTAATAATACAACAACTAACACCGTAATAAATGTTCAACGCAGAGTCATTCTGAGAGGCGAGGACAGGAAATATCCCAAGTGGTAGAATTTAATAGCAGTAACCACATGCTGGTAACCACAGTAACCACACTCTTCCGAGCGGTGATTAAAAGCAAGCTGATGGTAGTTACAGCTTCCTAGGGTGTGATAGCTTCAACCTGCCATTAAAATGAATGAATCATAAAGAGACTGACTGCCTTGCTGACGGAGGCAATCCTTCACCGAAAGCACGAAGGTAGCCGCTAAATCATGCTTACCAGCTGTATTTAATACTATGTGAAGAAAATTTTAGAAATTATGAACTAACATAAAAATCACTTTTCCACTGCGCATCACATCGTGCTTTGCAAGCAACGATTTCTGGATTACTGATAGCAGAATCACCATCAGTGTTACCGTCGTCGGCAACTATTTCAGAGACTTGAATCCGCTCAGTGGGACCCGAGGCGCAGCAACGTCGTACCGCACCGAAACACACCATTACTGCTGTGAGCACTAAATAAATATATGCTAATAGAGCAATTATGTCCACCATAAAGGTTTGGAGCATGTGAGGCTGCTTGGATAATTCGTTTCTTGACGATGTTCTTGAAATACAAGAAAACTTATACAACTTCACTGGTAAAGTATATGTTCCGGAATGTTGCAGAAAAGTTAGGCTGGCGGAACAACAGAGAGTGTTGCTTTTACAGACGCTAGTAGGCCTCAATAAGTGACTGGTAATATAAGTTAACACATGCAGCGAGTAAAATGTGCCACTAACACACAGACTGGTTACGCAAGGTACGGCCAGAACTAGTTAAAACTTCATTTCTTCATCTATCCATGGATATCACATAAGAATCTCGCGCTTTGCTGTGGAGAATGTTCATCACTGAGTGGTACTTACACGGCGTTAAAACAGAGCATACAAGGCTGTCAGAGCAGATGAAGATCAGCTTGAATGGCCATATAGGAATATTGTGAATGATAGAGGTCCAAAATAGAGAAAAATGGGAAAGTTGCTAACTGCACCAATAACTCGAAAAAACACGACAATGGAAAAAAGAGTTAAAATAAAACGATATGCTCATAACCGCTTGTGGAGCAGAATGCATTTGGGCAGTTCAGGAAATTATAGAAACCTTCAAGTCGTGAAAATCATATGCTTGCAATAAAAAAATATACTGCCTAGCTTGCAATTCAAAATAACACGGTGGTCTATAAAGGATGAATAAAGAAATGAAGTAATCACATTTTACCGCATCATTTTAAAACTTAAAAATGGCAGAATAAAAAAAAAATGAAATTCTGAATTGCACAGGAACGTACCAATAGATAACGCTGCTGAGCGAGCCACTGGCATCGATTTCCAGTGTTTTAAAACCTGAAAAATCAAGTGGCCAAATCTGGCGGAAAGGTAGAATTAACGTTTAATCGAAGTCTTCTTCCAGTCAATAAAGAGGAAGGTCACTAAATGGGACAGCAAGAAAAAATTCGACAGCTCTTTTTGCGCTTGACATAGCTCATAAATTTAGGCTACAACGAAGGAATGTTGAAAATCGGGCACAGATGTTTCTAGCATCAAGCTTTATTACCTACAAATCTCGAAACTACTACTATAGATTTGTAATGGAGATATTTATACAACTATAAACGCCGGTAGGCATGGTACAGCGAAAAGCGGCACTGCTGTCGTAAATTAGATCCGCCAATGAATCACTGTAAAAGTGCCTGCGCTGCACTGGATCAGACTGAATATAACTAATTTTTTAGCTTTATTCATCTCGCAATGCTTCTTAGATCTGTAGCTTATTTTGCAAATGTCAGTAGCAGGCCAAATAAAAGGTGAAGGAAGGATTATATGGCTATTTTGCATATTTTCATAAACAAATAAAAAGTTAAGGAATGGATCATATGTGAGTTTTGCCACTGTGCCTGAAGTGTCTCTTCGTGACCATAAAAGTAATCAGACCCTCCGCCGGATGGTTTGCAGGAGATCATTAGATCACACAAGAAAGCTAAATCCAGTAGACAAAGCATGCTGCTTGTCCAACCGAAATTCAGTGAACTTCGCGTATCATTAAGTGGTAATTGCAAAAATATAAACGACCACTCGTGCGATCTTCGAAAAGTACTAAGATCTGCGATCTTCCAGAAGTAGAGAAGTACAGCTCAAGGGTCGAGTAGCCTGACATAGCTGAGAGCGAGGAATGGATGCCCGACAACATTACTAACACTGATTCCCCAAAGGGACTCTTCCGGCGGCCTGTAAAAGTTCAAACCAACTACATCTGCATTTGCGCTCTTTGAGGAGTGGAGGCACTTGAGAAGTAGTCCGAGTGGTAGCAAACGCCAACCTCTTTATGATGGTAGCAAACGCTGGCTTATACGGATAGATGGTTAACCACTGTCTATGGGCGATGACCGACCCATAACTAGAAACAAACAGTTCAGAACGGACAAATCTGCGGCTAACCTATGAATGTAATTCACTACTATTCAAAGCTTTCAGTCGACGGCCTAAATGTTTTCTAGCGTCAAGTCGTGATTTTTTTGGAGACAAAACTGCAAGCGATGAGGAAAGGTGCCAGATGTTGTTTCACATAAGATGGAACAAGTGGCAAGAGCAGAGCATCAAAGAGATGCCACTGACATATGGAACCGATACGAGAGGGAACATGCGAATGGGTAAGCCCAGTTTAATTTGTATGTTGAAGGATTTTTTGCTAAGATTTTATAGGCCAGTGAGGAGTGTGGGAGAGAGCAACAGGAAGAGAAGAATTTTGCTGAAGGAACAAGGAATGGGCACATCGCCTCCTCAAAAAAAATTCGAAATCCATTAAAATAAAATTTTGATGGAAAATTATTACTTGCAATAAAGAAGTGGTTTTTGAAGGAGGGAAGAAATCGTCCAGTGAACACTGACGTCAGTAATCAATGGGATTTTGCAGGAAGAACTTTTGTTTATCGCAGTTATCGAATTTGGAATCCTGCGACCAAGGAGCGAGGAGGGAGAGATGGGAGATGGGCAGGAGGGGGAGTACGATTTCTAAGCTTTTTTAAGCCCTTAACGCCCAAAAAGATTAAATTTAAAATGTATTCGAATATGTATTCGAAACTTTTGGACAATTGCTCAGGCAATCAGTGAAGGTGCCCCAAAAATTCCGAACCAGATATTTGGTCATAGTATGGGATGGGCAACAGACTACGCAATAACGAGGTACGATGATGCACATTCCCTTCTGCTCCATGCATATCGAGAAAATACTGTATCACGTTTTATCCGGTTACACTTAGACGGTACAATCCAAAGTCAGCCTGATCAGCGGTTGGTAATGCAAAAAAGGTTAAGAAGCTCGCAAAAAATATGCATGCATAGAACTAGTCCCTGTTCTGTGCTTGTTTTTTCTTCTATTATTTACCTTCATTTATTAAAAAACGTTGTTTCGCATATTTCTGAAACTTTTGTGTGTAGGTCTGTATGTGTGTGTTTATGTGTATCTGTTTTTGTATGTTTGCGTGTGTAGTGTGTCTGTTTGTGCGTGTTTATGTGTGTGTTTTTGTATGTCTGTGTATTTGTATATCGGTGTGTTTGTGGGTGAGTTAATAGCAGTAATTGCAATACACAGAAAAATCGTGTGAAATTTCCAGGGCCAGATCAAAAAGTGCTTACTGGAAAAAAAAAAGTAACTGCGAAAGCCATTTTTACGTCCAAATATAATTTCATAGGATTTTCCGAGAGCTGCTTGAGGTAAGCCATTGGCTGTTGGATGCCTGATATGTGATAGTACTAATTAGTCACCGAAATAAATTAAAATCAAGAATAACTCCCTTTCCTTTTCCCCTTCCTCCGCCCTCGCTCTTCTCCGTGCTCCATATCCACTCTCCATGAGAAGCAAAGGCAACTGGGAAGAGTCTGAGTGGTAGCAAATGCCAACAGCAGCCAGCTGTTAGCAAGACTGTCAACGTCTCTCTCGTTTGAGAGTTTACTTAGAAGCAAGCTGATGGCAGCTTTGATTTCCTGGCATTTGCCTGTGTCAACTTAGAATAACGAAATGAGTGGAAGAAGTAACACCATTTTAAAAAAAAAAACCAGACTGGAACAGATCCAGAACATCCCAGCGAAGTTTCAGTCTCGTATCTTATCCAAGTATGTAAATGAACTGAATGTTCACTTAAATATTTGAATGAAGGCGGTCATTCGCTGTAAAACGCACTCGTTTCTGATTTGTCAGTAAAGTTGAGTATTTCTCGTGACCACCTGCAGGAAATTTCAATTTGAAGCAAAATTAAGTCCGCACTTGAAAGTAGAATATCAAAGCGAAGTTTCAGCCTCGCATCTTGCCCGGTAAGCGAAATAGCCACTTCGCTACAAATGTCTTTGAAGTACCCTAAGTCGTGGTGCAAGTGAAAATCGGTACTCATTTTAGGTATACTGTTTCCTATATGGACGATAAATATGCTGACAAAATTTCAGCAACTGTTTTCCGACAAGTTTTCGAGTTAGCACAGTGCCAAGATGCAAACTTTGACAGATCGTACGTGCTGCACAAGCGTGCGCGACAACTAAATTTGAATTCTTTAGCTCGCATATGCATAGAGAATATCCCTGCAAAGTTTTAGTTTTGTACCTTGCTTGGTTCGCAAAGTCGCTTCCCGCCAAAGAAATCTGCATATTTTTTCGGGGGTCCGTATGCGGGGTCTAGACGCGCAGAGGGAAAGATCTTAAAACGTAAGGGTGAAACACGGGGTAGGAACACATACCCAAAATTTCAGCGTCCCAGCTTTCCTGAGATGAAATTAGATGGCAAAATTCACTTGCTTCCGAACAAACACACACAGACAAATTCTCGACAATATGCTTTTTTGCTGACTGTATCTGATATCGCCGTTTAAAGTTTGTCTGATTGTGTTTGAACCCTCCCCCATCTTCCGATTCCAGCCAAAACATTTTCATTCCTTTTTATAATCTCTCTTCCCAACCTACTTATCTTGGATCAGCTTAAAACCATCTGAATCGCCTAAACTTATCTTACAATTGAAACTGCTCTCTTCGCCCTCTCCCATCCGTTTCTACCCTCTTCATCCTCTTCAATCTTCTCCCTGCGTATCCGTTCCCGGCTAGATAAAAAGCATAGTTGTCCAAAATCACAGAAAACAATAAAAATTTGCAACAGAATTTGCTACTTCATCTGGGCAAAATTGTCAAAATATTAGTATCAGCAATTTTTCTCGATTTTCCTTTCCTCTTGGCTTTAAATCGAAAGAAAAGAAATCAAATTTTGTGCTCTGCTAAAGTTATCGCTCCCGAAAACTGGGCATTCGTATAAAGTTATAGCTCGCCCTGCCATAACTCTATCCAAAGATTCAGCGCTACACCAAAAAAATCCTTAATTCACTTAAACGTTCCGAGTGCAGTATAAACTGCTAGCTTCCAAGGATTCCCGTAATTTGTTCACAAAAATTTTCAAATAATTAGTCAAAATAAGCATTCCCTTTTCCACATGCCACCTTTCCCCTCGACAGTATCAGGAAAAAATCTTTTACGCCAGA